GAGTGGCTTAAAATATTTGAAAACAAACAAACTGTGTTTTGTTATTGAATGCTAGATTGCCATTCAGTATAGAATGTGAATGTTCAGCAGCATTCGCACTCACACATGATTGTATATTTAGAATGAATGCACACTTTTTTTTACCATTCAGTACCAATAATTTGTTCCCAGGGTTGATATATTTTATACTTTAAAGTTTGAACATATCTGGAATTGAAACAAAAACAAATATTTTATTTCAAAGTATATGTACTTATGTATTGAAGTTTTCTGCCACTAACCCAAAGCCAATGACTCGTGCAATATTATTTATTCCAAAGCAACTTATCGCAACCGTAGAGCAAAACAGACACATCTTGATATGTATACATATACATCATCGATTGTAGACATTTTTTCGCAGAAGAATATACAAAATTGATTTATCACAATTATTTTTGTACTAAATATTTTTTTCACAGTATACAGTGATCCAGGTAGCCAAAACAAAAAATGTAAACATGCTTATTTGACATTTTGTTTGAATGTATTGGTTGATATTTTTTCACAGTTGTCGTTTTCGTTAACCCAAATGAAATCCAATTTAAATATTTTCAAGTCACATAAAATAAAATAACGAGAAACACGAAATTCCAAGCAAATGAAGCGTGAAGCGTCAGCAATTATGACCGGATGCAGTTCCTACATAAGTCAAACCGAGTTCTGAACACAACTTTGAGTGAATAATGGTGGGCTGACTTTGTAAAATGGTCCCATCGATTAGGCGGTAAAAGAAGTATTACTTAGCTTATGGTACAACTCTCCAATTTTCAAATGCACGTAATTTGTGTGTATTTGTTCAGCCGATTATTCACATTTGAAAGAGGATAATGCATGAATTAATGCAAGTAAAGACGGTTTATGCAGATAAGCGAGCGCGTTTGTTAACCGTATAAAATGTATGTACGTATATACACATATATTCAGAATGACGAGATGAACTAGTTCAGCCCTCTCTGTTTGTAAACACGCTAACTCGAACAAAATTTAGTTATTTTAACGAAAGTCGGTGTCGAAGTTGCCTTTGGTATAATTTAGGTTAGTGTTAAATTTTGTCGAAATCTGCCAATAACCACGCCCACCTCCCACGTAGTAATTAACAATATTTTTGTTTTATTATAATTTGTTTTACGAATTTTGCTGTTCAAATTTACATTTCAAATATATCAACAAACATTTGTAGGTACTTTTGCACCAGTTGTTGCCTATGGGTTAATGACAAAAAAATCCTATATATTCACAACATTTCATGTATTAGTTTTCAAATAAGCATATTGTCAATGGCTGGTTTGCTGTATACTGTGATTGTTTTCAGTTTTCAAATATGAAAACTTTCAAAACAAAATTTCAGAAGTGTTCCTGTTTTTTTTTAAGGGGTTGAGGAGTTCCATTACTTTGAGCAACTTTTTTAATTAACTATTAATTTAAATGTTTCCTAAACATATTTACAACGCAGTTCTGCAAGAGGGTACCATAACTTTTTTTCAAATAACGTATATTTGGAACAACCAAAATTAATCGATATGGATACATACATTTATGTTCGTATGTACTACTTATGTATGTATATATACATAAAAATGCTCAGAAAAAAAGAGAAGATGATTAGTCCATGTCCGTTTATTTGCGTACACGAAAACTCTAGCAAAAGTTGAGATATCTCAACCAAATTCTGTACGAGGGTTTTTTTATCTAAACCTGGTCCCTCTCATAAAATGGTAATTTCGAAAAATGCCAAAACTACAATATTTCCTTAATTACAGGAACCAAATTGCTAAAAAACTGCCATGTTTATTATTATAGTTTTGGAAAATGGACATGGGATATATTGCTAGCTTTAAACATCAATTTGCTCAAAACATACGTTTAGAACAGTTAGCAAGCTTCTACCACATGTGTGGTAGATCAACCACGTAATTTTTTTTAAATTTGGGTGTCTACCACATCTACCACACAAGGCTTAAATTCTACCACATTTTTAGACAGAACATTTGTTTACAATTTTCACATAACTCTAGAATTTCAACTCAATTGTAATTCGAAATATAAAAATTAATCAATAGATTTTTAAAAAGGTACATCATAAATTTTGCTTTAAATATATCTGTGCCTTAACTTCCTAATATTTCAAAAATACGCCTATTTATATTTGCTAAAGTATTATGCAATGGGAAAATAATTTGGTCGATTTTTTTGCATACAAATAAAATATTCTTTTCTTCATGATTATATTCTCTAACTAGAAAACTAATGTTATACTTGTTTTTGCACCAATTGCGTGGAATCTGTACGATCCACTAGCAATTATATTTACCGATTTAATTTTTGAGTTGTGCTTCTTTTGACGACGGTGTGCGATATGTATACCCAATAAAATATGAATTGGAAAATCTACCACATCTTATTCAAATCTACCACATTTTTTTCGATTCTACCACACTAAAATAAAAAGGGGTTTGCACACAGATTTGTTAAATCTTTTTTTTGAGAAAAGTTGATAATTTGCAACTTATTGTAAATGGTAGAAACCACCACAAACCCACAAATCAGGTTTTAGAATCTTTATTAAATGCTTGACCCAATAGCGAAGAAAAAAGTACGAAGAAACTTGTATTAAGAATTTTTTAAATAAATAATAAAATGTATATATCTAAAGTTAGAAGTAGAAGCGCTTAAATTTGTTTACTTATTTTAACGTAGATATATAGGTATGTACATATGTAATAATTTCTGCACATACCTTTTATTGGTACATTGGTAATACTTATTTAGAAAGCTGACAATTTTCGAAACAGAGATGTAAAAATCGTTAATAATTGACATTTTTCATAATGACATTCTTGGCAGAACAATATTTCTCTAATTAATATTTTCATTTATTATAAATATTTGTACAAATTTAAGTGAAACAAATTAATGATAACGCTCAATAAACTATTTTTCGTGTTACAATTTTGAAATCTGTTCAATAAAATTCAACCTTGCGTATTTTTCAGTGGGTTTTGTGTATTTAGAATATTTATATCGATTGATTGGTACTGAATGAATGTGTGCACACATAGCAAAAGCTGCATTCATCTGAATGCTTATTCAGTGTTAAAAGTTAATGTTTCGTCATTCAGTTTTTTCAATCTTTCTTTGAATATGTTAATGTGTGCAATCGTATCTACTTTGAGTGAATGTAGAATTGGAAAATTATAAGCCACATTCCCCAACAAGGAAAAATTCAATGAAAACATAATAACATAAAATTGATGATTTTTAATTTCATATGATTTCACAGTTTTACAGCTCTGGTACATACATACATATAGCAGCAGTTAATTTCATTTAAAGAAATGGCGTGTCGTCCACTTCCCCTGTAGCATGGCATATATTTAGGCGCAATATTAAAGTTCTTCTGGCGGGGAAACTTCTCGAGTCTTTTAATTGTATCTCCTTGATATGATGCCTACAACGAGGTTCATATCTAGACTAGGTTGATATCTAGAATTTGCCATAAATAGCTTTGCTCTGGTTTTACGTTCTTGGGCAAATTACGCTCTGTTAGCCATACATTTTACTAGTTTTTGACCGACTTTGAATCAAGAGCCCTGGACCATATAGGAAATTCATTTATATTTTAAATTGCATTGTCATCGTGATTGGAACTATGCTGAAAATTTCAAGTCTCTAACTTGTCGGGAAGTTAGTTTAAAATGGATTGGAAATTTCCACGATTTGCGCGGGATGACCAAGTTAAATAAAAGCTTATAAAAAAGCATCAAAAATCGCATTATTACGATTCCATTGAAAAGATTTTTAAATGTTTTTATGTAGATTTTTTAAGCCATCTGAGGCGCCTTTTTTCAAAAAGTTGTTTAAGAAAGTATTTTTATTCATAAATAAACTCCGTTTTTGGAGGTATTTTCAAATCGGCCCAGTTCACTTAAATCTTAATTTTTTTCCGAAATATTATGGTGGACGTCTTAAAATATAATAAATTTTGTAATCCCGGCGGAAAAACCGCAACTTTTTTTTGGTGATGCAGTCTACTCTACATACATAACTGCCTACATTATTTCTTCATGACCTGTACATACATTTGTATTTGTTTTTTTCATATAAGAATAAACATTAACATTAGTACGTATGTATATGTATAACAAACCTTTGCTTTGCGCTGTATTCCGTACCAATTAACTCATTTGTGATTTGCAGGTGAGCAGCGCTGTTATGTGGCATGTATGTTAGATTCTATAGGATTTTTAAAGTCCTGCAGTTCCATTTTTAAGAAGTCGATACAGCCCATCTCGAGCTTTCCGAACAGAAAAACGGCTTTCAAAATATATACTAATATAGATTCGTTCAATTAGTTTGTGTGTAGATCTAATTTTAAAATTTTGGTCGATTTTTCTTTGTCATGTTACCTTAGGATGAAACAATCACTAAAATGTTTGAAAACAAAGGCAAAAAAGTTAGTGAATCCTGCTAAACCGCCCAGTTTTTTTTTCAACTAAAATATGTATATTAAGGTACTACAAGAGGGCCCATACGCAGTCTGCGCAGACAGAAATATACAGTAAACTCATCCCTCTTTGTAACTACAGATAGAAGCAGACTGTTTTAATAGTTCGCGGAAATAATTATTCTTATAAACCCCTTATTTTTATTATACATATATTACAAAGCATTAATGAGATTTATAGTACATCAGAACTTATACTTATTAGGTACATACATAAAAACATATTACAAACTGACTGATATATGAGTGTCATGAGTTGAGGGAAACATGGCATCTTCACTTAATTGCTGAAAATATGATGGCACCAAAACACTACTAAATTGCAAATAGATCTGCCGTTGTTGCATATCTTGGTTTATTGGAAGGCAATTACGTTTTTTGCGATCAGCTGACACTCCTATACACCTTTTTCGAGGCACTGTTAAGCGTAATTATATTAAATTGAATCCTATAGTAGTAAAAATGGTTATTACGATCAACAAAATAACTTTTTGAAATTATAAAGTTGCCGATTTTATGTAGACTTCATGAGATAAACGCAATATGTCAGTATATCTAATGGAAAAATGTTTCTGTAAATGAAATGTTGAATTGAAAATCACCAAAAAATACCATAATACCAAACACCAATATGCTTACCATACAAATAATACTCGTAATAAATGTATTGCTTAGCTGTTATGATAAAAGGAATATCCGAATATTTTTCCGACAGGGTAGCCAGAAACAATATGGGCTGCAAATAAGATTGTGATGCGAAATTTACAAAAAATACCTTAATACCAATACACATATGAATGTACTTACCGTATCTACAATTTACGCGATAAATATGTTTCTCAGCTTTTATCATAAGAGGAATAAGTGAATATTTTTAACTGA